GGTAGGGTGCCTAAATATAGACTTGTATTGTTTGTTTCATTATGATCAGTTCTGTTTAAAAAATTGGGCTGGTGGTTTGACTGAATAGGCTGTTTTAAGCAAAGTGGGCCGTTCTAATGTATGACTTAATTTTATATTAAAAAAGTTTGGCATTGAAGTTTTAAAATACTTTAATGTTATTCTTTTATCATTTCTGAAAAAAGTAAAGAGCCTTGTCCCTTTTTTTTTCATTAAGAGGAAACAACCTTAGAGAGATGATGACCTACCCCAAAGTGATATTTATTGTCAAAGGTTCACTCTCTTTTAGGGATCCTAATTAGTCACTACAAGCCAGTACAGGATCATGAGAATCAGATTATTGAAATGAACCTCCTTTCCTTTCTTGAGGAACAATATTGTGATGGCTAAAGGGACTGTCACAAACACAGATATATTCCAATGCCAGAAAAATATATGACAAAGTCTCCTGTGATGTCATTCAGGGAATGATTGAGAAGTGTGTGGGCTGAATGAGAGTAATTAGGTGAGTTGGGAGTTGATTACAACCAAAAGACGGGAATTAATTGATTGTCATTAATTTGCAATGAGGTCTGTAGGAATTTTCCATAAGGTTCTATTTTCAGTCCTGTCCAATTCAACAATTTTATCAATTACCTGGAAGAAGTCTAGGGACTTGCTTACTAAATTTGCAGATAACACAAAGCTAGCAAAGAAGATTAGTAATTCACTGGATGACAGAATCAAGTTTCAAAATGTCTGTTATTTAGTTTGATGGGTTGACATTTATTAAGGAAGAAGATAAAGTCCTGCATTTAATTAGAAAAAAACATTGTGATGAGTGGAGCTGAACCCAGAACAGCTGCAAAATAATAATAATAAAACATTTCACGTTTTAATTGACCTGATGGTGTGATGTAACTACGGAAAAAATCAACATAATCTCTGTTGACATTCTGAGAGACAGTGTGTCTGTGTGTCCAGGCTGATAAAAGTTATACATCTATCCTGTTTGTACCTATCTTGAGTATTGTGTTTGATTTTGGAAACCATATTCTAAGAAAGATACAGGCAACTTGTTTGTTTAATGGATGGAGGGGCTTTGAGACTGAAAAATGAGGAAATCATGCAATATGAAAAAACAAGGGTGACTTTGTAGAATAGATTTCAATCTTGACTGAGCAATTACTATGGGCATTAATCACTGAATTAGGAAAACACAAAGTGAATTATATATTATCATTGGTTACATGGAAACAGACTATATTGACATTGAGGTGGTCTGACTCCAGAACCTATTCTTTGAACCACTATACCATGCTATTTCTAAGAACAGTTATCAAATGTTTGAAAAGTTGCTATGTGGTAAAAAAAATTAGATTTATTCTAATAAATATTATCAATAGAAGGACAGACAGAGGTTATATCTTAGCATAAAGAATTTTTATGGATGCAAGAGGATGTTAGTACATCTTCTATTTTTTGGTACAGTGTTAGACCAGATGATCTGTAAGGCAACAACTATAACATTGCAATTTCCTGGGATATGATTTGATGTTACACAATTTTATTATGAACAGAAAAAAAAACATAAAAGAAGAAGTAATGGTGTTAAAGAACACCGAAATGGTGTTCTTTTGAGAACAATGTTAGAAGTGTCCCACATTCTTTTTTGGGAGGTATCAGTGATTGAACTCAGGGGCACTCAACCACTGAGCCACATCCCCAGTCCTATTTTGTATTTTATTTAGAGACAAGGTCTCACTGAGTTGCTTAGCGCCTCGCTTTTGCTGAGACTGGCTTTGAACTTGTGATCCTCTTGTCTCAGCCTCCTGAGCTGCTGGGATTACAGTAGGCATGTGCCTTGGTGCCAGACCCACATCCCATTTTCTAAGATGTCCTCACTGTGTGTCCTTGGTAATCTTCCTTTCATGGGCAACGAATTCTGCAAACGTTATTTAAACTTTTGTCTCTCCAACTTGATGCTATATATCTAGATAATTATCAATGCTATGTCATGTGCATAAGTCTACCCCAGGAGGTTATATTGTAGAAGTAACAAATGCCGTTTTAACTTGAGGACCTCTAATAGTTGCCTGATTTTGGTGTGCTGAGGGAGTCACACCTGTCAGATACTAGTTAGGATGAGTGGAGCACTTTATTATTTTTTTCTGCCTTAATTATTATATTGAAAAAACAAGAATAACTGTCTTACCTCTACAAAACTGTTGTCATAAACACAATAATGCCTGTCATAAACACAATAATACCATACTGTGCAGATTCTCAATAAAAATTTAGGTTTTCAATGAAATGTTTTTGCAAGAACAAACTATATGTAAGAATTTGCCAGACCTGGTTCCTGGAAGGTAAATGCTGGATCTTTTGAGTTTCTTGAAGGATTAGAATGTCTTTGTTATTTATAGTAGGTCCCTTAGACCCCCAACTATTAATTTATGCTAGTGAGCCCTTAGTTCTAGTTTATGCTAATGAGATGACCTGAAATAGGGGCAGTTCAGACAGAAAGCCTGATCATGTGATTTTAGAGGGTTTGGACTTTGAGCCTAATGATATCAGCTCAACTTCTGGGGAAGGAAAGGAGCCTGGAGATTGAGTTCAACCATGTGGCCAATTATTCGATCAGTTGTGCCTATTCCATAAAACCTCAACAAAAGCTGGACTCTGAAGTTCAGTGAGTGTCCTGGTTAGCAATATTCTCCTTATTGTCACAAAGTGATGTGCCAAGAGGGTACTGCATCCATGAAAATGAAAGCTTCAGCTTTGGAGCCCTCCCAGGCCTTGCACTGGGTGCTTATCGATGTGGCTTATTCCAATTTGTATTCTTGTGCTATAATAAAATTAAATCATAATTATTGTGCTTTTCTGAGTCCTCTGAATTATTCTAGCAAACTGTCTAACCTGAGGGGGTCTGTGGAGGCACCCCAAACACAGCCAGTTTGTCAGAAGTGATGACTTCCCTAGTGTAGCTATGCTTATGGTGATCCTTTACTAGAAAAAGATAGTGCCACCTTGAGTATGCAGCTCTCAATCCTTCAAACTAGTAGCACAAGATTGTTTTTACCCCAGACTCTACTGAGTTCTTTCCTTCACCTTCAAGACTGATGCAAACTGGGAGATTATGGGTTATCAGATTTTCTCAATCATTTCCTCCTTGGGATAAAAAGAGCTTGGAACCAGGGTTAGGTTAAGAGGGTCTTTCCAGAATGCTAGTCCACCATTCTTGGTTTTGCTGGCTTAACAAACAAATCTTTTTCCTTTTATTAAAGTGTTCTCCATGTATTGGACACTTGTGAGTGATGAATAAATGAACTTAGGTTCACTAACAATGGGGACTTCCAAATTTATGTCTAATGGCTAAAGTGAAGGTAGTTTTGGGGAGGACTTAACCTATGAAGTGTCTAACTCTGGGCAAGTTGCTTTTGGCATACTGATAAAAAACTTAGATTTATATAAAGGTAAACTGGTAGTAATATATTTGACTTTTCAGTTCTTTTAGAATATGTCAAACATGATTTGATGATAGAAAAAATTTTAAGATAAAATTTTTAAAATATCTTTGTTGAGTTATGAAAAGGAAACATGTTCAACACCTAAAATGTTTTAGATATAGATATAGGTGAGATCTTTCTAGGTTATTTTACAAAATCTTAATGCTGTGCTTTGTCCCTTGTTCATATACAAAGGATCTGATCATCAGAGGCCAGAAGCTTGCTGCAGTTTCCAGTTAGTTATGACACTTTGGGTTTGAGAGATCTTTGAGAAATTTCAACCATATATTACACCATTCTGTGTAGCAGAGGGCTTGGCAATTAATAAATATTAAATATGTAAATTTCTCAGATAATTAATTAAAAGCCAGGGTTTGATCTCAGACATCAATCAAGATTGCTAGGTTTCTCCCCTGAACTGTACTGTACCTACCCATATTCAGCACTCTCAATTTTATTGCTTCCTTGCACTCCTGGGAATATATTATAGGTTCAGAAATTTTTATTTTGCTTGCCAGCGTATGCCCTATGCCCAATATGGTAGCAGAAAAGGAGTGAGTCCCTGATAAAAAGTTTTTGAATGGAGACTTAGCATTAGGAGCGTTAAGAGGAGTTTCTCATGCACAGAAGTTATTTTCTTCCTAATTTGAAAGCAGGGGTATTTAATTAGTTTGTTCTAAGAGAACACAAACCAACACTTTCTTTACATTGTTCTAAGTGCACAACCAGAAGTATTTTTGAACCTAAAAAAGAATAAGTTCGTGATATTTTACATAAAATAGGCAAAAGTAAGTTAAAATAAAAAGCAAGCTACAGTGACATTTTAAAACATTTTTTAAAAAAGTCTTTGAATTTAAAATACAGCCAAAGGCATTTCACTGTGACTACTAATCATTATTGTCATCATGTCTGAATTATTTTTTTTCACCCACATGTGTAATTAAGAGTAGAATTCAAATATTTGCATCTGAATTTTTCCGGTTGGTTGTTTCTGTCTAAAAATCTACCTGAAAAAAATTTCCAAGATCATTTGTTATTTAACTCATGATTTCTCTTTGGTGATACAGACAAAGTTTGCAGCTAATCACGAGGAAAATATCATCCAAGTACCCAACCCTCCTACATGTGCACAGATGCTGACTTCTCTGTGGGTTGCCTGTGACAGCTATGAGGCATGGTTGAATATGGCCTCATTAAAAGACCTAATACGAATACAATGACCAGTTTGTTTTAGAATACACTAAAGAAAGACAGCAGACAGGGTCTCATGGGAAGTGACATTCTGTAATTACCTCCTCCTATCAAAAGGAAAACAATTCCCAGAAATTAATGAATACAGCAAGAGTCTATTCCCTATCTTAATTCTATCTTAATTGCAAAGTGGATCAATTAAAAAAAGACCACACTGGCAAAGCTCCCCTCTTAAGGTTTTGTCTCCCAGTTCCTTAGTCATCAAATCAATGTACATACACATACTATAAACCTATTTTTTACCTTCTGAGATGAGATAAATCAACTCCACCAGCAGTGCCCCTGTGAAACAACCAAATCCATTGAACAGTGTCAAAAAATTCATAGAAGTTTCTCTGATGGTTTTCGGAACAAATCTGTGTGCTATTATGGAGACTGAGAGAAAAAGAGAAGATCAAAATTTAGAACATTCTCCCTAAAACACTTTCATAGGTACTGTTCAAATTAATATTGATTGTATATCAAAGAAAATTTTCTAATAAGATTAAAACTTAGGTTGGACTTTAAGATTACTATTGTAAAATATGATACAGCTTACAAACGTCTTCAATGAATAAAATATGGCAAAAATATTCCCTTATACAACTATGAGGAGAATTTGATAACTTGGTAGTTGTGAGTCCTACTATATTTACCCAATTCTCTCCAATTTAAATATTTCTGATAAATTTTGGATTGACATGAGATCTGTACTAGGTGGTATAACAACAATGTATGAGATCTATGATTCTGTGATTCTATATAAACCATTGGATTCTATATAAACCATTGGATTTTTTGTGGAAAATTTGAATCTATCATATAAAATTTGCATAGAGATTAAAAGAATAGGCTCTGGAATAAAAAAAAGAATTCACTAAAATCTCATGTCAGCCATTTAGTATCTCTGTGATTTGAGTAAGTTAGTTGAACTTTCCACGTTTCGATGTCATCCTCAATGAAATGGGAATAATGTCATTACTCATTTGGCGAGGTGCTGTGAGACTTACCTGCTATCAAGAGCTACAGAGAGCACTTAGTACAATGCTAACTTGTAGATAGTGAAGGAGGATTAAAAATATAACAATATTAATCTTAACAAATCAAATAGCTCTTGCTTGTGCTAGGCACCGTATGTTATCCCATTTAAGAAGAGGGTATCTAGAAAGAGACGATAACTTAATCATTAGGTCTCCAAATGGTTATCTATTCTTTTCAAATTATGGTTGGGGTACTGGTAATGGTGGTGGCAACTGACTGAAAGAAAATTATGGAAGAAAGTTTTTTAAAATGTGAACTAAAATTATTTTTTAAAATCAGAAATAGACTAAATAAGTATATATGATTTTGTGTATACCACATTAACATAACCATATTAAAATATGCACGGCAATCTTTGGGATGCAAATTTAAAAATTTATTATACTATGACAGCTGAGATTTGCTTTAAAATAATACAACAGAGAGGAAGGAGGTATGGAAATGAGGATAGAGATAAAATAAGTTTGACCATGAGTTGAAAATAGTTGAAACTGTAAAATGTATATATGGATTTTATTTGCTAATCTCTCTCTATTGTATCTATGCTGAAAAATTGTAAAGAAATACATTAAGTAACATTAACAGTTTTAACTTTAAGTGTTGAATGATTGGATTTCTAATTTTCTTCTTACTCTTGTGCTTTGCAAATTTTCCTACAATGAGATCATAAATATTAAAGCTCATGTTAAAAAGAAAAGATAATAGAAAACAGATGTACTGTAAACACCAAGCCTTCAGTTTCCTTGTCTATAAGAAGAAATAAGCCTTATTTTCTTTTCCCTTTCCTCTCAGGAATATCTCATCCCTGGTTTACTTGTCCTTTTCCCTAGGAAAACTCCATATTTGCCCAGCACTTTTGAATGAACGTACTAATGCACAATCAAATGTACTAATGTTCCTTCTTGCATTGATGGAACATTTCTGATTTATTTTGTGTGTCCTCCACATGTATTTATTTTACTCATCCCAATAAACATTTAGGGAAGTCCCTATCTGGGATCCAGGAAAAGTGCTGGGCACTGGGCTGAGCATGGAAAATGTTATTAGTTTATCTTTCCTAGATTTTAAGCTCTGGAAGGGCAGAGAGAAGAAGAATGCACCTTACACAGGGCAGTGCTAAGAAGGCATTCAATCTCACAGCGATTGCAGATGAAGGTAATAAGGGTGATGCATAAAATACAGTGGAGAAGGTCTTCTAATCTTGTGGCAAGCCCCACAGCTCTTGTGTAGTGCAAATCGCCAGCAGGAGCCTAAAGCCAAGCCCTGGAGTATTTTCAGGAAGGTCCAAATGGGACTATGACAGTATGCTGAAGGGGGCCTTGGAAAGAATTGATTCACAGCTATAGAAAAGATGTGGCTTATGAACTTTCCTCTCTATAAATATGAGGAGACAAACAATGGACAGAAAGAGTAAGTAGGTCTATTTCTTTCTCTGAGAAAAAGCAGAAAGTACAAGCCCATTATTACTCTGCTGGTTAATTATTAATCCTATGCTTTTCTCTTGCTAGAACTTCTGGTGCGGTGTATAATTCATGAACACACTTTGCCAGCTCTCTGCCTGCTGGTTAATCTCTCTTTGGTGTCATTTTAGTCGTTTTTGAAAGTCTCCAGTTCCCTTTTATAGGACTTAGTTTTTCAAGTCTTCAAATCTCCATTTTCAGGCATCTACTTGCATGTTCTGATCTTTTTCAACTTTAGTGATCATTAACTTGATTTTTTAGGCTACAAGAAACTTCTTGCAGCCCATTAGAATATAGATATTATCAACAAGTCTGTCACTGTTCTGAAATTTCTATTCTACTGTGAGGACACAAAAAGAAAAATTCAAAGCATATGTGAAAGCTGTTTTTCTTGCCAACAGGAGCTAGAAATGTGCCTCCAGGTGGTAGCTGGTTACTGTTTGCAAGGATGCCATATAACAGTATAAGCAGACCACAAAATATAGGGCCATAACTACCTTCCTAAGGCACCTGGTGCTGGGGACTCATTGCTGGGATTCTTTTTGACTCCAGTTGTTCTTAAACAGTAAAAATATGTTTATTGTGCTCATGAAGTTATTTTGAACATGTAGAGGAAAAATACTACAATTTTAGAAAATGGAAGTTTGTCCTTTATCACTTTTGGACTCTTATCTCTAAAAAAACTCCAGCTTTAAATCTTGTGTTATCAAAATGTATTATGTATTACCTTTCTTTTGTGCTGTCATTTACCATCTGGGACATTTTCCTCTATTTCTCAAAGTTGCCAGACCCTTTCTGTGTCTTGTGTTCTCTAGTATTGCTCTGGCATTAATTCTTGGCTATTTTGATATATATAGAAATCATCTAACTTTCAGGCTTCCAAGTCTTGGTTCCTTGGTTCTTTGACCTCCAGTGTCACTGTCTTCTACCCCTTTAGATTCCACTCCATTTACACGCATAATTACAGACTGTACCTTGTGCCCCAGATGAGGGCCAGCCAACTTAGCCAAGAAACGTCCATCCCACCACTTATTTTTATAAAGTTTTGTTGGAACACAGCTATAGCAATTTGTTACCCATTGTCTATGGCTGCATTTGAACCACAATGACATAGTTGAATACTCATAATAGAAACTGGCCTGCAAAGCCTATTTATTATCTGACACTTTACAAAATATTTTCCAACCCATGTCCTGAATTAGTAACTGCTCACTCCATAATCTCAATTTCTTCCTGCCCTCTGATTACCACCTTCTATCTCTCCAACTACTCTCCACTACTTAACCATTAAAATATCACAAGCTCTACAAAATTTTTTTGTTGCTTTCTTTTTTTGTTTTTGTTTCGTTGTATTTTAGGGATGTGTTTAAGGCTCCCACAGCAGCGTTAAGCACATTTTAGTATTTTTCGAATAAGCAAACACGGGTAATGAGACAGCTGGAGTACAAACTACAACAAACAAAACACATAATTTGAAAAGTTTTCTAATTTTTTCTCATTTCTCTTGTAGCTTATCTCCAATGACCACATGGCTTGGTAGGGCAGTCCACTGACATTTATGGACTGATCCACTGTGCTTTCTTTCTCAATGCCAACGGTGTAGGACATTATCAATAGTTTAAAAAAAATATAGTACAATATAGAAATTGCTGCAGATTTCATTCATTCATTGGCTTATTTAATAAAAATATATTTATTGATAACCTACTCTGTATGTGTAATTTTCAGGAAAGAGAAACACAAAGAAATATGAATACAAGCCAGGAGGACAAGCATCCTGCCTTCAGGGAGCCTTGGTGAGAGGAAGTAACACAGCAAAAGCAAATAAGGTAATTTCAAATTTTGATAAGCACAACTAAGGTATAAAAGAAAAAAGGAAAAGAAAAAAAAGAAACAGCAAAGGGTTGGAAAGTTATAGGACGATCATGTAAAAGATAATAATAATGACTCACAGGACAACTGGTAATTACCAAGTACTGTTTGTATATAAGGCATTGTTCTTTTTGCTTCATATGAAATATTGAACTAGTCTTTTGAATAGCTCCTCATTTTATGGATGAAAAAGGCTCAAGAGTGCAAAATAATTTTCCTAAGTTCATACCACTAGTCAGTGGCAGAATTGAGTTTGAACTCAGGTTTGTCCAACTTTAGGACCAAAGAGCTTAGCCATTATACTGCACTGCCCCCAGGAGAGTAATTGTATTTGTATACCATTTGATTTCCAAGGAATGGCCTCTCATTCCCATGGACTTTTATTCCATGATATAGTTCAAGGCCATGCCCCCAGTGACATACTTCCTTCAGCCATGTTCTACGTACCTATAGTTACCACCTGATGTCCATTCAAATCATTAATCCACTAATGAAGTTACAGTCCCATGCTCTAATCATTGTTTAAAAGCTGTACCTCTGTACCTTGCTGTATTGGTGATAATGCTTTCAAAACATGAGCTTTTCAGAACACTAAAGATCCAAACATTACAGCTGTGATATAGAGGAAGAATTGTCATTATTTGTATTTTAAAGATCTGAAGAAGAACCTCGGAGATTAAGTGAGATCCCAAGGTCACGAGGTAGTCAGTAAAAAGCTGGAAATCAAACCAAGACTTCCTTACTCTGGCTCATGTCCCTTGTAGCAGAGAAATATATGACAGAGTTGGCTCAGTTTCCTGATGTGTAATTGAAAGAGGATGGACTGAGTGACTTGTATTACATGATGTGCCTTTTAACTGGCAATGGTTGTGAGTATGCTGAGCCACTGTTGCTAAGCTGGTTAGGATTTTCCTCCTGTATTCATTCACTCCCTACCTTACTCCACATGTAGCCCAGAAAATCTTGGCTGACTACTTCCAAGAGTCTTTTAGAAACAGCATCAGGGAAGATCACTAAGTTTGCATAGTGGCAGTCAATTACCCTCCTTTTGTATTCCTTGCATTGTTAAAAAATGGTGTTCCTATCATAGACTGTCACAAAAGAACTTATGCAAAACATATGGAATAAAATGATTTAGCATGATAAAAAGAGGGTGATGCACCTATGTATTTGTGACTACAGTTATACAAATTTAATTTTATTTTGATTGTTTAAAATGAATTGTTTGGTGTCATATACATGCATATCTGAATGTAAATACACATTTATTAAATATATGTATTTAAGGCATTTGGAAATAATTTTGAAGAAAATAGAACCATTGAAGATTTTAGGCACAAATGAAATGATTAGAATTGTCGTTGTAGATGATTATTCTAAAGGTTGTGAACTGGTTATAGAAGGAGAGAGTTACTGGAGGTAGGAAGACAGAAGTTATAAAAATATTCTCAGTAAAGTATAACATGGGCTTGAGTTACAATTAGGGAAATATAAATATAATATAGAAACACAAGTCATGATAGGTCACACTGGTAGATGTATGTACACACACACACAAACACACATAGACACATTTTGCTGCACATTTTAAAACAGGAAGTTACTGAAGCACTGTGACAAATTTTAAAGTGGATACTTTAATTAATATAAGCAATCTAGATAATACAGAAACCCTTGATATTTAATAAACTTATTTTATTAAACTAGTGATCACATTTAATCTAGTATAATTTAATTTAAAGACATTGAGTCATCAAGAAAATTGGGTCAAGTATTCATTTCATTTGCATGTTTATACACTCTCAAAATACATTAAATGTCATTTTTAGAGGGAGTCTGTGTATGAGTTTATCTGTGAATAAGAGGGAGGGAAGAGGGAAGTGGAAAGAGGGAAGGGTTGAAACAAGAGTCTTCATTTAAGCCTGCCAAGGTTGTCTCCTAGGTTTTAGCAGTTTGCCTCTTCCTGTCCTGTATCTGACCAAATGATTATTGCCTCTAATCAGTTTAGCAAATCTTTCATTCCATCTATATCCAAGCAGAATAAATAACTATTATTTGTGTGATAGAGGAATGAAGAAAAAATATATATTTTTTTTTCAATGAGGGTGTTAAATAGGCTTGTTTGAAGCGCTAGGGGAAATCTCTAGCAGTGATAGATCACCTGCCACTTCAGTTGTTCCTGTCTCCAAGTGCTTTGTGTAAAGGTCCAGTGTCTTTGACATGAGTTGATAAAATTGTTACTCACGGGCAGGGTTTACCAGAGTTTCAGCCACTCCAAGTAAAACGTACTGAAGAACCAGGTGGAAACAGGGCATGGAGGAAACAGGCAGAACTTGGCCTAAAAGAGGCTGCTCCAGCGGTGGAAATTGTTTTCTGTGTATTTCAGAGAAGCCAGCTACCATCACAGACAACGCAGCAGAAAGATTTCCAGCAACTAAAGGAAAATAATTTAAAAAATTAAAGAAGAGATAGAAATCTGTGTAATAGGCCATAGTGTTTCTTACATGTTGACACCAAGGGATGTTTCCTTAACACTCCCCCCCCCCCCGGGAATGTCCTGACTCAGCTAACTGTTGTATGGTCGGTCACCTAGTGCTTAGCATCTGGCCTCTGAAAGGGCTGAGTTCACTCTCTGTTGCCTGGCTCACTGGTTATATGACCTCAGGCCAGCTATTTAAGGACAGTATCATTTTCCTTGGCTCTGAGATGGGGCAATGATGCTTTGCTTTGTAGGGTGGTTGTGAGATTTAAATAAGATGATGTTCTGGTATTATAAGGGTTCCTGGTAGGAATTAATAACCATTATGATTTTAAAACAATAGTTTTAAACCTTTATCCCCAGGTAAAATATATTATTCTAGATTAAAAAAAATAGATATATATTTGAATCAAAATGATTTTGGGAAAATTTAAAATAAAATTATCTCTTCACATAGTTTTAATATTTAAAAAATGATTTCAAAATAACATGAAGGCATATAAGTCTTAGTTTTCTGTCCTAAGAAATATTTGCAGAAAAAGTAAAGCAGCTAATCCAGAATTGAGGGCTAGACACTTTTGTTTAGAAGAGATTTTTAAAGAGGATAATTAATGAAGAGAAATGTATAAATGCAGGCAGTTACTTATACAGTGGTCACACCCTTGCTCTTCCCTTTATTTTGCCTTTAGGTATTATATAGGACATTTTGGTTGCAAACGAGTAGGGGTTTTGTTACAGAGTTTGTATCTACTCTGACCATTCCATTTCTCAATTCATCATTCATATTACTGGACTTAATCCTATGATTGGAGCAGAGGCAATCTTTGGCTTGATGGAATTTACTTGAAATTTAGAGATAGTCACATTTTGCTAAGTTGCATAAAATTTTAGATAAGGCAAAGCTTTCAATTCAGAAAAATCAATCTAATGTTTAAATAGCTTCTTGTTTATTTTGGTTGATAGAGAAACCGGTAGGTAAATTTTTGATTATATCTCAGCGTTTAAATGTGTCCACAAAGACTGCTTTTTACTGGGTCCCCCCGAAATGAAAGATATTTAAAAAAAGAATATCAGTTAAAAACTGTTTGAGGGAATTTTTACTTATCACTATTTTAAATTTAGTTCTGTATAGGCCCATTCATAGAGAAGCAGACATTTGGGTTCTTCTGTAAAGGATTCATAAAAATATCAGTCTCATAAATTATCACCTTTAAGATAAAATTCCTCACAAATTGCATTTATCTTCATTACTTAACACTTTATAAACTCATCAGAAGGAATACTAATATGTCACTTCGTATTTAATATTTACTCCATTGCTGCTACACGCAAGGTAGTATGCTGGGCACAGTGGTGTTTATAAAAGGAAAGTCTGTTCTCAGTCATTGCAGACTCATATACTGTTTGGGGGAATATAAAAAAAAAAAGGACTCATTTCTAGTTGGAGAGGTGAAAAACATCATTTTGCTTTAAGGAAAGAAGGGTTTCCATATGAAAAGGTGAAGGCATCACAGATGACACAAACAAAGACACAGAGCTGTGAAAGTATCATACAAATTTCCAGAATGGTGAGAAGCTCAAGTTATTTGGGAATCAGGGGAGATGATAGATTGAGGTCAGATCATAGAGGCATTTAATACACTTTGGAGGAATTTAAAAATTACTCTGAAGATAATAGAATCATTGAAGATTTTAGACACAAGTGAAATGATGAGCCTTGCCATTTAGGATGATTACTCTCAAGGTCAGGTGCTGGTTGATAGAACGGGAATGACATTGGAGGTGGGAATACAGGAGGTTATAAGAATAATCTTGTAAAGTATAAAAGGGGCTTGGGATACAATCAAGACTTCCACGTACTTCAGGGACACACAAGGAAGGTGGAAACAGAGTGGGGGAGAGTCCACTTACGAAACCATAGGAGTGAAGCAAGGAGCAAGGAGGAGGCAGATGCTAATATTGGGAAGAGTCCTGGTGACTGCAGAGGTGGTACTGACAATGTAAATGAGATCCACAAGTAGATAAAGAGAAAGGAATTTAATTTGGGGTTTAACTGGAGGTACAAAGGGGTTCTCTAGATAGAAATGCTTAGGAAACAATTGAAAATATGAACCATAGCTCTGGAGATGGCTTGAATCAAAAGAAAGGTTAATTATATCATTTTCTTAGAGTGGAAGTTTAGAAGAGTTTGGGCATATTCAGATGGTATGGCCAGAGGCTACAGTGAGACTTTAGGATCAGGTGAAATCAAGAGAGGATTGAATTGGGGCTGGGGATGTGGTTCAAGAAGTAGTGCGCTCGCCTGGCGTGCGTGCGGCCCGGGTTCGATCCTCAGCACCACATACAAACAAAGATGTTGTGTCCGCCGAAAACTAAAAAAAAAAATAAATATTAGAAAATTCTCTCTCTTTCTTTCTAAAAAGAAAAGAGAGGATTGAAAAGGTAGAGAGGAGAATATCTAAGCAATTGCATTTGAGACAAGCAAAAAGAATAAAACTAGTGAAATAAAACATCAGGAAGGTTTCAAGGAGGAAGACATACCAAACAGAACTTTTGAGTGCTTCTCCTTCACTCTTCCCAGACTCCTTCACATCCTTTAGATTTGCTATTAGGAGTCCCTTTTCCTTCCCTCCATCTCCAAATATATCATTAAGTTGTGTAGATTCTATTTCTAAAATACATGGAAAATTGACCTGATTCTCTTCATGGCCACTGCCAACATTCTAAGCCAAATTATTCTCATTTTTAACCCAGACTATGTGCCATAGCATATTAAGTGCTCTTCCTGCTTCTACTCTTGTCCATGTCTAACCTATCAAGCACCCAATCTGAGTGATCCCATGTAAATGCAAATTGAAACGTAACTCTTCTGCTTAAATCCCTTCTATAGGTCTCCATATGATTCAGAGGACACCCTAATCCATAACATGGCCTACATGATCTTGCCTGTGCTTGTTACTTCTTTCTAATTGCTTGCCACTTTCTCTTCTCTGACCATATTTCAGCCTCATTGATCTTCTTTGTCTTTCTTGTGTATCTTAGACTCTTCTGACTTTAGGGACTTTAATTTGTTCCTACCTGTAAAACATTTTCCCCCACTCTTCATGGGTCTAATGCCTATTTGTCCTTCAGATATGCACTTCATAATCTAAATTAGATCCTGCTTGTTATTCTCCCCATTATATCCATCTTTCCACCATATTTACCATAATTTTAAATGAAATGTTTTTAATGTGTTCATGTATACCATGACTGTTTCAGTTACTTGTTTGGAAGTTTCCTAGAAGATCAGATAACACAAATTGGAAATGATTGGATTTGATTGGAAATGATTTTGTTTTGTTTACTACTTTACTACCAAGACAAGTTCCCTGGTCTACCTTAGGTAAAACACACACACACACACACACACACACACACACGAGTAAATGACCACAAAATTCAAAATCTGGAGAAACAGAAGATAAGAAAACATATGACAAGCCAGCTGTGCTGATGAATGGACTATTGGTTACCATTTACATTCAACAGGACTCCCATGATGAAATCATAAAGCAAGGATTTGAAGTAAGAGTGGGGGTGAATGTGTATAAGTTTGTGTCATCTAATCTTCTAGGAAGTTAGCCGTGTAGAAATGGAGAACACTAAACAATTTGCTTAACAATTTAGTGGGATGACAAGAAACTGTTTTGTAAGAGGTGAAGACTCCTTTCTGTTTCTATGCAGAGAGGAAGAGCCAGTAGAGATGAGAAAAAGTTAAAGATATAAGAGCAAGAAACAAATAATACAGAAATGTCGTAAAGAAGACAAGAGAGAAGAAGAAGGATAGTGAGCTCCAAGAGGATGATGAAAGCAAGGAATAAAACAAGCTCCTTAAAAGGAAAATATACATATATATTCAGAATATAGAGAAGACTGAGGAACAGAATGGTGAATGTGAGGCAATATGTACTATATGATCTTGATTTTGCAACTTAGATAGAGTAGTTAGATAGATAGCAGAGAACAAGTGGATAGGGATGAAATAGAGACAACAGAGGGGGAATATTTTGACAACCACTATTGGGTTTAGCCAAAGACAGGAAGTCTGGTGAAATTAAAGTTGTTGTCTTGATTTGTACTTATGTTACTGAGGCTTTTTTTTTCCTCTCAAAGTGCAAGAGCTGAATGATCCCAGACAATGGATATACAACTCAATACTTTTCCAATTTATACTTATCTTTTGACATAAAGTAAAACAATTAGAATGATAATGCATTATATAATTTGTTTACAAAATTTAGAGGCATTTTAAAAATGTTTTCACCAAGAGAATGAGACATTGGAGGATTTTTATTTTTAGTTTAGAAAAGGGAAAAAGTTCTCCAACAATTATATTCTTCAATTCATGATTAATCAGGTTTAGGACTTAGAGAATGGCTAAGCATCTCTCTGATTGAATTGTCTCTACCACCAGAGCCAAGTATGACTCACGCTAGGTGTGTGGCTGTCAGTGGTCAAGTCACTTTATTTCATAGTCCTTGATATCTTTTGCAAAGTTTGGTATGAGCTGAGATGCAACGGTAAAGGTTCTCTGCAGGTTGGAAAGAGCTATGAAAGTTTAGGAGAGTTTCAAGATTCTGCTCTACAACAAAATAGATTTTTATGTCTATTCCAATATTTAAATAGATATAAAGACTGCTAGTTAAGATGGCTGAGTGATCATGCAATTTTGTCTCCTTCCCCTAATACCAGTTAAATGATAGTAGAGAAATTTTAGAAAGGGAAAATATCAGAGAAAGAGAAAACACTGGACAGGAGATTAATTTTTTTAAATTAGGAAGAGAACTGATTTAGCAATATGAATGGAAGCTACAACCTAAACTGCTGAAAGAGAAACTTAAAAATCATAATCCTAGTTACCTTAAACAATCATTTAGGAGCTTACAACTTGGAGACCCTGGCTACTTCAGAAAGTAGAGATAAGAATCTCTCAGTCTCTTTCTCTCTCTCTCTCTCTCTCTCTCTCTCTCTCTCTCTCTCTCCCTCTCTGTTTCTTTTTCTTTACTTTTTTAAAGAAAAAGTAGTTAATTAGTCTTTATGTGTGATGCATGATAGCATATGAAAAAATTCTTAAAAATGTAAAAAACAAATACTATTAAAAGTAATAGGTGAGTGAGGGGAAGGGGAAAAATAATATAAGGGGGACAAACGAATGTCAGTAGAGGGAGCAGAGAGAGAAGAGGGGAGGGGAGGGGAGGGGAGGGGAGGGGAGGGGAGGGGGGATAGTAGAGGATAGGAAAGGCAGCAGAATACAACAGACACTAGTATGGCAATATGTAAATCAATGGATGTGTAACTGATGTGATTCTGCAATCTGTATATGGGGTAAAAATGGGAGCTCATAACCCACTTGAATCAAATTGTGAAATATGATATATCAAGAACTATGTAATGTTTTGAACAGCCAACAATAAAAAATTAAAAAAAAAAAGTAATAGGTGAATTCAGCAATGTTACAAGTTGCAAAGTCAACCTACAACCTGAATTATATTTCTATATAGTAGGCAATGAACAACTGAAAATACTTTTTAGATGACATTTACACTGGAAGGGAATAACACACTTAAGGAAAAGTGGGAGGATTGGTTGAAATTCTGCATACTGAGCAGCAAGATTCCCAAATCTCTACTTCTACAGTGAAGAGACTGGAAGTTGCAGAGTTTAATTAGGTGTGACCTTAGACTCAAGGAGGAAGGGGTAGGCTGAAAATGGGGAACAAGAACAAATTATGATTCTGAATGTTGAAGAATCCCCCACTCTACCTACAATGCCTCACTCTCAGCACTAGGGAATCTTCTCAGATCAGGAGATTGAAGGGATCTTCTCTCAATAAACTGAGTGACTCCTTGAAAAGAATTCTTCATATATTATTTGAGGAACAGAACTGATTTAGCAAAATGAATGAAAGCTACAACCTAAACTGCTGAGAGAGAAACTTAAAAATCATAATCCTAGTTACCTTTACAATAACATGACTGGTTCCCTGAAAAATGATTTTACAGGGAAGCCCACCTTTTGATAATTTCTACCTCTGTACATGGACATACTATCCACAGTAATACAATTATCCTCATAGTCATATTATTATTGGTCATACTATTCTGTTATAAACCATATGAGTGGACAACTGAAGATCATCAGACACTTGAGAAGAGTTTTCAATATGAAAAAGACAAACAAGAAGTAGAGATAATCTGTAGTTAATATTCTCAGAGAATTTGAATATAAATAAATTTCCATGAAAAATGAATAATAAGAAAACTTAGAAACCAAATATGACTGTTCTAATTAAAAATTTATAGACCATTTGGAAGATCAAGTCAAAGACATGTAAGAAATTAGATCAACAACCAAAAAAGAACAAAAGGAAATAAAAACAACCAATTAACCAAAGAAACAAAAAACATACGATTGATTGTAGCCATTTGGAAAGAAAATGTTAAGAGACTTGGGTTATTTTAGGAAGGTCCAACATCTGATCAATAGGAGTTCAAAAAGAAAATACAAAATAGAAGGGAGGAAATTATTTTTATAAAATAATATATATGTTTTTTTCTGATTGAAAGAGTCCAAATGAGTCAACAGTATGGTGATTGAAAAAGATCGTTATCAAGGTACAATAACATGCAATTTTAGAACATCATGGATACAAAGAAGAGACTTCCAGTTAGGAAAAGAGTTCATAAAAACAGGGATCAGTATCAAAAGAGGGCTGGAGTTCTCAATAGTAATTTAAGTTTCAGTCTTTGGATTCCTCTTTAGATTTTTGAGGACCAGGGTTGTAGCTAAGTGGTAGAGTGTATACATAGCATGTGTCACACCCTGGGTTAATTCCCATAATGGAGGGGAAAACTTTTTTAGAATTTAGATTATATGACTATTTTCTAAGTCAGCCCTCAATCTAAATAATTAAAGGCAATCTAGATTTTTAAAAAATCACACATTTTTGATTATCATCTATGCTATATAAAACAGCTTATATTTTGTCCCTGAAAGTTTATAGCATTTTTAGCAATAGCTTAGATCTGGGTCTATAATTTTTGTTTTCTATAAATGACCAATAATAAATATTTAAACTCTGTGGGATGAAAGGTGAAATCAATCAAAGATAGGCAGGTACTTATGTATTAGGAAAGAACATAAATTTCTCAATTTTTTATGAATTATATTAAAAATAATAATTTATTTGAGAGGATAATGCCATTTAGTTGGGTTTCAAAGTTAATATTTTCTATCACCAAATAAATAGCAAATGTTCACTAATGAGAACCATTCTTTGCTTATAAATCATACAAAAACAGACAGTAGACCAGAACTGGTCCATGAGTTACAATGATTGACTACCTTTTGGTTTAGTCATTGGCTTTATGACTGTTATTGAATTTTACCTCTGGCCTGATAATAGTGGGGTTTTACTTGGGCCACTGTTGCCTGAATACTTGTGTGAAATCCACGAGAGCAGAATTCTGCCCTTTTCCTCCATTCTTGAAATTTGTTGTGTTTTGAATGACCAGACTGTAGGTATGACCTGACAGCTTGTTAGACATGCAGAATCTCAGTTCCTCTTACCTCCTGCAGAACAACTGAATCAGAATCTAGATGAAAACTAGATATCTAGATGATTTCTGTACACCTTAAACTTTGAGGACTGCTTTATCATAGAGCATTATCAAACCTGATAGAGCAAAGTCCAATAAAAGATTGTTCTCCAATTTCAAGCAAAAAACATATGCTTAAATTATTGTATTCTATTTGTGCTACGAAAACAAAATGCCTGACTATTTTATGAAAAATACAAATTTATTTCTTATAGTTTTGCAGACTGGGATCACTGTTCTCTGCTTCCAAGATGGCCCCTGGAATGCTGCCTCCTTCTCCAGAAGGCGAAGTGCTCTGTTCTCACATGACAAGGTGAGGAGCAAAAGGAATAAACCTTCAGGCCCCTAATCTGATTAATTTACTTAGTAGATACACAGATGTATCTCTCTCTGTAAGTCACCTCCTGAAGGCCACAGTTCTCAATACTTTTATATTCCGGATTAAGTTTCAACATGAATTTTGGAGGAAACAAAAACATTTGAATCAGCAATCATTTACCCAGATATTTTAGGGCAAAGAATATTGAAGAATCTAGTTAACAATGTTTGCTTTTTATTTGCTATTGTACTCTGGTGCCAATGAAAAATGACTTTTTAAAAATTCAAAGCAAAGTTTTCTTCCATCCTAAATTTAATATAACCCATTTTTAATTCTTAACTTGTATGCAATCACAACACATCCAAGACATAGTGCAGTTTATCAGAATGCAAGCATTTTAAACCTCTTACAGATCTGTATTTACAAGATAAAGCACAATGGTTCCAAAGGATACATTATATTCAGATAAATAATGTATGTTTTAATATTGGCTAGGTGGTTGCAGACAAGCCTATAAGAGTCTTGAAGCTTTTATAGTTTACTCTATCACCCTAACATGCAATAATTTTTCAAATTAGACCACAATGAAATAAAAGAAAGTCAGAATTCAAATTCATTCAAACATTAAGGTTGCGCTTGCCATTTTGTATTGAAGCAAAATCTAATACTCAAAAGTGGATATATTAAGATTCTTTAGATATTGGCTAAACTTGTTCACTGAGAAAACTAAGAGGTTTTTATGAGTAGTCTGATGTATGAGTCTCTGATACGTAAGTTCACAAGTGTATATATGATATTCTGTTGAGTACTCGAGAAATTCCCTTTGGATCTATAATTTTGGAAAATTTCTGGAATAGGAAATTGGCTTATGTAAGAACACACTGTTGTCTCCAAGTCACTCTAAAGAGGCAGTTAAGATTTTATTGTCACATGCATTTGCTGCCTTTGGGGAAGATATTTATCGTTCACTGTTAGAATGGCCTATGTTTTTTTAAAAAAATTTTTTTCCTATTAGCAGTGTGTTTCTATATTTGATCTGAGCTATTTACTCTTGTTTGTTTCTTGTTAGATCATTGGAACTTACTTCAGGAAATTTAGCTTCACTTAGTATTTTAATTTATGAATGTAGAACAGGTAGCTCATTTACCTAGAGATTAGATACACTGATGTATCTCTATAAGGAATCAAGTACTGCTTCAGGTGCTATGTGAAATTGTCTACTTCATCTCAAATTTAAATCCAATTTGATGTTAACTTTTAGAACTGAGAACATTAATGTGCTTTTATTTAAAAAGGGATAATTAAAATGAGTAACTTTTGGGGGGCTAAATATTTATAAGTTACTATTTTTTCTTGATAGTTTCTTCTATCAACTATTTTGCCATGGGTATAAACCTTATATAGTTTGAAAACTATATAGAAATACATAATTTTGCCTGAAATAATAATAATTTCAATGATCCCTGACTCAGTTTTCCATCTACAATCATTTTGGTTTCAATCCAAAGTAGTAGGATGTGTAGTAGTAGTCATGTGTAGATATCAACATCTTGACTAACCTGGGTCATAAAAGACTTTTAGTTAGAATTTGAGTTTTCAGGTTATTTTAAAGAAGGTATTGAAGATATTTGAATATATTTCATCTTCTTTTTAATTTAAATGATGTTTAAGAGCCACAGTAATTGCTACCCACTGTGTTGTACATTTCTGCTTTGTGTAAGACTTAATAACTGTCTTAATTAGGCTAATTTTAGTCAGATTAATATTTGCGTATGTCAGCACTAGCTGCTGAATGCCACATGCTGCAGGATTTTAATTAATGTTAAGGAAAGGAAATACTCAGGGTGTAAACATTTTTTAATTGAAAAAGGCTAAAATGAAGTATGACCAATTATGACAAAGGATAAATCACAATGGTATCACTAATTCTATATTTTTAAATTGAGGTTGACCTTAATTCTATGTAAGCATAGTATTAAGAAAATAAAGTTTGGATAAAACACTTCGAGTATATCAAATCTTTGGCTTCATAGACCTGGAAGGCTGTAGAAATATTTTTTAATAGTTGGTATTTTGACATACTTTTGATTTATTAGATGAAGAACTTGGGAATGTTTTATATTTTGAATCAGAAACCCCTCTTTCATTGCATTGTTTATGAACTATATAAAGAAAATAAATGTTAGTTTTTCTTTTGTGAAATTTGTAGTTTGACCAACTGGGTGAGATTTCCTCATCTCTCAGGCTTGGTTTGAGCTGGGCTTCCATATGTCAAACCTTAGCCTCTGGCATTGTCTTTACCATCTGCCTCCCTTAAATATGGCAGTGCTGGAAGGGAATGACTGAATATGGAAGGTCAGGAAAGTATAAGGAGTAACTGTCATTGTGCTAATTGGAAAGGGTAGTACAGAGCTCAAGTAAACATTGATAACTCAACTTCTAGAATGTAACAGTAAGGTATAGCTGGTGGTGGACTATTTTTTAATGATGATGATAAAATGGCCACAGGAAACTAGAATGCCTGAATTCAAATGACACTGTGTTTGTGATCCTTGGTCTATTAAACGATGGTTTATCATGAGGTTCAATATAATATGCATACGAAGCTGCATAGGTTCAAACCAGGAACTCCTAAATATATGTTCATTCATAATTTATATACTTCTATACTTCACCCACATTTTCAGGCACTTGAGTTCAAAGTGAAAGGAAATTTTAATATTAGACTAATTCAATTATGTAAATTAGTATCAAGAAGTACCCTAGGTTTGTACTTTCATGTCCTGATAAAACTTGTTAATCTTCTATAATCATAACCAGAATATGGAAAACTTAAGCAAATATCTAGTTTAAAAGATGCATATCACCACACTTTTATATTCCCATAGCAAAATATTATGCAAATAAATGAACAAGTATGCAAATGATGAATGAATCAAGTCAGGCTTAGAAACAACTGAATTTAGTATTCAGTACCCAGTGGAACATAGCTTAATTTCTTTGAAGTGAGTCTAGTTTTTCTTTTTTCCTGTGCAACAGGTCTTATTATCAATTTTGAAGGGGAATATTTAGTTCATCAACAACATTGAACAGTATACTAGATAACTCTAACTTTATCCAGAAAAAAATACCCTCCTTTAAGAATAGATATTATTTTAAATATGCAGAAGTGGGTGTGATCTGGAATATCTTGTTGATAGCTTTAATAAACACCAGGAAGCACACACCCTAAAATGTAACTTCTGTAAACAGAAATAACAGGAAGTATATGTAACCAGAAGACTGTATGGACATCACAGTAGAGTAAGGGGCTGGGGATTCAGTCCAGGGGTAAAACACTTGTCTATCATGTGTGAAGCCCTGGTTTATTCCCCAGAACTGAGTATGGGTGGCGGGGAGACGGAGAGAGGGAAAACAGGTTCTGGGTATAACCATAAAGATCTAGTAATAATAATAATAATAATAATAAAACAGGTTAACCAGAAGAGAATCTTCTACATTCCCAACCTTGACTTTCTCAGTGGAATTATTTCTCAAGTAGAGGATGTTTGGTTATCACTGTAAGATGTTTCCTAAGAGTTTTCAAACTCCCTTTGTTTTCTGCTTATGCCCATCAAACAATTAGATGAGTCCCCTGCAAGTGATGGCTCGTAATAATGGCTAACATTGACAGAGCTTTCACTATGTGTTAAGGACTATTTATGGGCACTAATGTCTTCCTGAGTGCCACAAGGGAAAAAATAAGCAAACTAAATACAGGAGAGATTCAAAGTCATTCAAAGTCACTCAGTGGCAGATCAGTGGTAAAGTAGGGCCCGAGACTCAGATCCCTGATTCTGGTTTCACTGAACCAGCACTTGTGCCTGAGGAAACACTGTTAGGCAGAGGACAATGTGATCAGAATGGTCTGAAGTTCCTTCTTTCCCACTGCAATCAGAAAATTTTTTCTTATAATTTATTGATTGTGAGCTAAGATATTCTGTCTTCAATTATTTCACTTAAAAATGAAATTTATTGCTGTAGATGTTACTATTTTGAGAAGCAGTATATTGAAGTTGGGTATCACAATGCTAAGTTCTGTTCTTTTCTTGTTTTTAGTGGTGCCAGGGATTGAACCTAGGTCCTCATGTATGCTGGCAAGCACTTTACCACTGAGTAAAAGCTCCAGTCCCATAATACTAATTTTTAATAAATTTTGTTAGTGGCTCAGAAATTTTTTTTAAAAATTGAATCCATTGCCTGTGTTCATTTTTAAGAACATATTTGGCATTGACTTAGGAGGAGGAACTACCTTATTGAAGAAGGATAGGCCATTTAGTGATACTGGAAATTTTACCATCTCTTTCTATCAATAGTGAATTCTGAGGAGGCATAAAAGGATGGTTACAAGAGGAGATGAGATTGTCTGGTACAGATTTGGTAAGCTGCATGTTATCATTTATAAATTTACCTTCTTTGCAGTTTGTGAAAATCTGACTGTACTCAAGAGCATGTAGCTAGTTTAGATCTCAGCAGAGTGCTTTTTTTCTCTTTTTTAAAGAAGTTGCAAACAGTTTACTTGAAATGGGAAGCTGTACTTACTAATGCATGCTGACAGAAATGGTCCATCTCTCTTAGAGGGAAACAGGCAGGTGCTGAAGTACTCCATAAAAGGAGCCAGAACTAATAATGGTAGGATGCTGATGGCATTCATTACTGCAATTGGCAGAAGAAATCCATCCAGATTCAGGTTGGAATTCATGGTCTGCAGATAATATGCCGAAGGAATCTACATTGAAGGGAGGAAGCAGCCGTGCATTAAGACAGTGGTTTAATTTTGAACAAAGCGTAAGATGCCTGTCCCTTGCACGTACTCTGTGACAGATGAGTTGGATGTTCCCCTGTTTTTCATGGTCCTAATTATGAGCTGATAAAGGGTCTTCATCTGTGACAGTAGGAGCTCTGTTTAGTCAACTGACAATACTACTGATTCTTTATGGAAAACTCTTGTCACTTAGTTTATCTTCTTAATTCTCCTATATGAAGTTCTGGTGGACCTAATTTTGTGCTTAGCATGACACATAAGAAATCAAATCACTTAAATTCTACAAATAAGCAGAATAAGTTTTTATCACAAACATTAAAGCAAAAATATCATAGAAAGTATTAATGATGTTAATCTTCACCCTGACGGCAAAAACTGGAGTCTAGAATAGATTCTTTAACCTATAGTTTAATAGTAAAATAGATTAGAAAGGGTTTTCCCAAAAAGAAGGAACCAATGTGGATATACATTATTTCTTGTAGATTTTCTTTATAGGATTCCTGAATTGAACTTGTTTCTAATTGTAAGCCTAATGACATTAGGATAAAGAAGAGAAATCCTACTGCATTTGTGATCTCCTTTTAAATGAATTGCATAACACTAGTAGACCACAAAGAGGACTACATGAAAAAGGTCTGCATAATAAAGTAACAGATATATTTTTTAAAAAACACTACTGCTCTATCCCAGCCTTCCATGTATTGTGAGTTTTTTTTTTTAATTTAAAATAGTTCCAATGCTAACTGAATCCGTTAACACTAATTTAGAGCCTCTTCATGTATGCCAAGCCTCATGGTAAGTTATAATTTCAGAACTAAGGCACTGTGTCACATGAAAGCAAATCTCTTATTTTCTGGTTCATAAATTAGTGGCACATGGTGTATCTTTAGTTCCTGACATCACACAAAGATCCTAAGTGGCATGGAGAAAAGACAACCAGGTCTTCTTGAGGAATGGATTCTCAAAACTGTTCCTTTTTTTTTTTTTTTTTTTTTTTTTTGAGACAGGGTCATAACTTTTCCTTACAGTGTAGGAATTGCGTTTGGACTCCTGCCTAGTCCAAACTCCTTACCCTGGGAGAGCAGCCTTTCTCAAACACCCAGATCAGAACTTCTCATTTGAACTTCTGTCTAATCAATTGTGCAGTTCGAGAGAATTTGAGGAAAATCAGAGTCAGAGGCAATACAGCTGTTTAACATGCCACCAATTGTAAAATGAGTCTCTGGCTATGTTAACTGCCCAGACATGGGAAAGAGCCTCATTTTCACTGGTCTTTTTTTCTATCTACATAAAACATAACCTGGTGATAATTTATCTTCGAAGTTTTAATTTGATCCTTGGGATAATAAGCAAAGATTGTTTTGGTGAGGTACAGGAGGCAAGAATGAAGGGAATATCAGCTAGTTCTGGCCTACTTCAGGAAAATTATTAAGCATGTGTCCCTCGATCAGAGGGAAATGAATGATGTGTTTTTTTAAAAAAAGTGTTGGCAGCACACAACGTTAAGACTGAAAGGCTCCCAGCATAACTTGGAAGTTTCTGTTACTGATTTCAAATGAGAATTATTGTTAATAGGAATAAAGTTATTATCGGCATGAATCACAGACACAGAAACCTGTTAACTTAATAATGTGGCAAATGTACTATTAATCTTTAGTGAAGCAATATTAATATATTGCCTAATCTAAGAAAAGGCTCCAGTGTCTTGAAAGCTTGAAAGCATTTCTGCTTCTGCCTCAAGTTCTGAAATCATCCCCTTTTAAAATTTTAAATACTTTTATTTCATACAAGCCTTTGACTATTCAGAAATAATTGCTGTCAATAGAGATTCATTTTCACCTTTGAGTGGCCAGTAATGTCAAATGGCAACCTCATTGGCCTTAATATCAACATATTTTAAATGTATGCCTTGGAACTGAAGGTCAATAATGGCTACTAAATTTAAAATATGGAATTCTCTGATGCTTTATTCTTGGTAGTTTGATTGCCTTTGTACTGGTAATTATTTCATCTAGGGGCAAAGTCTAGTATCAGCCTATCCTTGTAGAGCTTCCTCTGCAGAAGTAAAGTCTAACATTTTCCTTGAAGTTTCTAGCATAACATTACTGTATATAATTTTGGAACCTACAGAGTTTGTGTTGGGGATTTTTAACCCAGTGTAAGAGAGCCACTGTGGGTAGTAGCAAAGCACAGGCTTAATACCAGCCCCAAGTGAGGATGATCATTCTGATATATGTGCAAGTTATAAGTTACTTAGTGTTTCTGAGCCTCAGATTTATGATAATAATTTCAGCCAGGTATGCTGGCTGTGAGAATTAAATTAGATATTAAAAAAACATCTTTGGAATCTATGATACATACTAGGTGATCAATAAATATTAGTGGTTGTCCTTTGCAATAAACTGGAAATCTAGATTTGGTGAGATGCTTAAAGTTAATTTATCAAAGTTTATTGTATCTATGTAAATAAGAAAATATGTAAAGGTTTACAGAGAAGGCTCAACAGTAGAAAAAATATTAGTTATTAATAATGTAAATAAGGAATTAGTTATTTGTGCTATATTCAAAGAAGGTTTTGAAGCTAGCTATGAGCCACTTAGTAACCAGTTATTAATTTCTTCAATATAAGCTGTTTTTTGATATAAATGTACATGGATAATATTTTTGCTATATTCTACTCTTGTCTCTGCTCCTAATATAGAATCCGGAGAGAGGTTGAATTCTCCTAAATCAGACTAGCTTTCATGCATTGTTTAGACCAAAGGTCAGCAAACTTTCTGTAAAGGACCAGATGGTAAATATGTCCACATATGGATTCTTTGGCAGCTATTCAGTTCTGCTGTTTTTGTGCATGAGCAGAGAAAGATACAACAAATCAATAATGAGTGTGTCAATGTTCTGATAAAACTTTATTTACAGACATTGAAATTTAAATTGCATATAATTTTCACATGCTAAAAACCATTCTTTCGATTTTTTCCAACCACAAAAAAATACAAAAACCTCATTAGCTTGCATGATGTACAAAAATAGGCCATGGACTCAATTTGGCCTGAAGGTATCAGTTTGCACACCCAGTTTAGAGGAGCAGGCATTGTTCTGAGACTCAGAGGGTCCCTTCTGCTGTTCCTTCCACTACTATTCACTGTAACTTAACATCCATTTCCCCATCAAAAATCACTTAATTTTTCTGAGTTTGTTTCCTCTTTAACAAATGAAGCAGTTAGTGCATTGATTCTCTAAGTTTCTTTGCAGCTCTACTGTTCTATGATTGACACCTATAGCTCCCTTTTAGCCTTCTAAATTCCAACTGGGGGTCAGCAGTGGAGAAAGTCCCAAGTTGGTTCAGAAACTTTTGTAAATCATCTATTTTTCTACATAAATAACTTAGCCTTTGACCATAACTACGTTAAAAATTTTAAAAAATCACATGGATCTATAAAAGATACTTTGGGCTTAGTGTTTTCTCTTTGATTTCCTCACAGCATAGGCACTAATTCCCCCATGGAACTAACAGAGTGGGTGGGGAAAGCATCCTTTGCTCATTAGTCCTTGTACTTAAGAGGACAGTGGAGGTGGGACTCAAATCAGTCAGTTTAGCTCCTTATTAGTGCCACTTTTTAAAGATTTAATGAAGGAGGAAGGCAAACCTTTGGCTAAAGGGAAGCTTGGTAATTGCTTATGGATCTGTTTTTTCTTGTGCGTCTCTTATGCCTTCTGACTATGCCCTCTGCAGTATTGTCTGCACCTACTGACAAACGTTTATAGTTCTCCAGAAGAAGGACATGCCAAGGAGTTCCTCAGAGATGCTTCTGCTGACCCCACCTAGCTCTTGAAATCAGAGCCTTTGATGAATAGAAGCTTTTGTGGAATTACTGCCTGATGCAGTGTAACATTACAAGTAGTACATGTCTAGTTGTAATTGTAACAAGCAATCAGTTTATTATTATTGCATTAGTATTCATTGTCCTTCCTTACCTGCATAATGCACACTCTGTATATTAGTTGAAAAATGAAGAGAGGGAGAAGGGCGAAGAAAGGTTTTGTGTCTTCCACGAGGAGCTCACTGTAGTGGCCGCCATTTTTTTCCTTGGCATGGTCTAACCAGTCTGTCACATCTCTATCAAGATGAAAATATTGCAGGCAGCATGTTTTCAGTGCATTAACAAACACCCCAAATGTTGCCAGGAGGGAGCAACCTGCAAATAATTGGAGATGTTATGTAACAGCATAGTAATTGTTCTTCAATCTTCCCAGATATCAATCAGAAAGTTGACAATTAGAAAGATGAAGGGCAAAATGACTGAAAAGGTTTCAGCACCCAAGGGGTTTCATTCAAAGGAACAAGCTCCTGACAAGGATTCTGGCATCCTGATGACCAGCCCAGGGTGGTGCCTGACAGCTGATGTAAAAAATGAAAAAAGTAAGATCAATGGGAACATATTAAATAGGGAAAAAAGGTGACAAAAGAAAATACCAAAGTAAAGGATTTCAGAGTCTCTCAGAAGTCTCACACTTTAACTCATTAATGAATAAGATAACCTGAACTTTCTTTTACATCCTCAACACAAAGAACCAGTACTGTTTTTTTTAAATATAAATCATTATATAAATAATCTTCACTTTACTTGGCAGGTAGAGGGTGGTTCTTATTTTGACACAGAGATGAAGGGAAATGTATTCTTTGCTTTGACTTTATCCTTGAATATCAGACATGAGGTTAAACTTTGAACTCTTTAACAACTTTATGAATGTTGATAGTGTTACTGAAAGTTCAGATAGGATAAGTTGGCTTTTGACTTTTCCAGTAGTTTCCCCTGGGTTTATATTGCTGTTGCTTTAGTACAGAAGCATTTTATTGCCTCAGATGTTAGCAGTTACTGCTAGTGATTCGAAACTTAATTGTTGCTTCTTTTATGATCTTTCAGATTCTGCTTTTTTTTTTTTAATCCATTCGGACTTCCTAATACAATGATAGATAAGATACCCCCATATGGTTAGCAGTTCAGCTGTGTCATTGTGATTGTTACAATTTTTCACAGCACTCCCTTTGACCATATAAATCATTCCACGAACTACAGAGACACCAAACTATGGTTCCAAGAAAAATAGTATAATAAATGTGAAAACATTTGGATTTCCCCAAAGAAGTCTGATATAGGAGTTCCAAATATAGCTTGATTGTCATTTTGACTGCGTTCAGATTTCCTATAATAAAATTCTTGATAAAATATATTCTAACAAGATCCCTAAATACCATAGAGTCTTGGGTTTTGTATTCAAATAAATAATATTGGTTAATGTTTCTTTTTACAGTTAGGAAGTTGGTTATGTTGATTTGATCTGATCTTTTCTTTAAGAGTTGTAATAGACTCATTATGTCAGTCTTTGATTAATTGAGGAAGCTGGGGGCCTGGTAATTGAATATGGAGCCTTTCACCTCTAAGTCACTGAATCTAATCCAGTCCAAATTGGTAGTGACCAAGAATGATTGCAGTTGTGGCTCTTCAGTGGCCTTTGTGAGGTGTGTCTAGGTAATATGGAAGTATGTCAGAATAATTGCTGGCAGGAGATAGGCTTATATCTATGGTTGTCTTTACTTCTTCTTAATCATGACTGCCAGACATAGATGAAGGCCCAGGGACTGATATATTCAAGGGGATAGAGGTATCTGTGAATGACTGAGATTTGTGTCTCTTAGAAAAGAAGTAATGGGCAGCTTTTTATTTTTGCAGAAAGAACTGCTTTGAGACTTTCCTAGCTATTACAATTAGTTTACTTAAGGTTTAAGAAAGATGAGAACTGAGAACATGTTGATGAACAGTGGAGAGACTAAATCTGAACAGACCTGGAATAGGAGGCTTAACTTCATGACATTTCCTTATAATCTTGTCTCTGTTGCTCATCAACCCGTTCTCTGCTCCACTCTTGCAAAACAGTGCCATAGACAGTAGGGTTATTATTAGAATTGATCCAGATTACTTTATATTTTCAAATAGGCTTTATTATTAAATGACAGTTATTTGCAATAAGGATTACTTCTAAAGATATTTTCCCCAATTCATCCTCCATACACAATTTTTTAAAATCCAGGAACTTGGTCCAGTGCAGTGGCATATGCCTGTAATCCCAGGGACTCTGGAGGCTGAGGCAGGAGGTTGGCAAGTTCGAGGCCTGCCTCAGCAACTTAGCAAGAGCCTGTTTCAAAACAAAAAAAATCAAAGGGCTGGGGTTGTGGCTCAGTGATAAAGCACTACTGCGTTAAATCTCCAGTACCCCTGCCCCCAGCCACCACCCCACCCCCAGCCAATTCAGTGATTTGTATTGACTATAATGTTTTAACCACACATTTTCTTGTTTTGTGTTTTAAAAAAATCACTATTTTTGCAAGTTAAATTTGGATCTATCCAGGCATGGTGGCACACACCTGTAATCCCAGCAGCTCAGGAGGATCATGAGTTCAAAGCCAGCCTCAGCAATGGCGAGGTGCTAGGCAACTCAGTGAGACCCTGTCTCTAAATAAGATACAAAATAGGGCTGGAGATGGAGCTCAGTGGTTGAGTGCCCTTGAGTTCAATCCCTGATACCATCTCCCCATCCAATTTGGATCTAATCCTAATACATGCTGAATCAATATAATTTATTAAAAATAATTAAATATTACAAATGTTATTTCTAAAGGCAGATAGATTAGTGCTTCTTAAGCTGTGTTAAAAATAAGATATTGGACTGGGAATATAGCTCATGGGTAGAGTGCTTGCCTAGCATGTGCACAGCCCTGGGTTCAATCCCCAGTACTGCAAAACAAACAAATAAACAAACAAATAAATAATAAGTTTTTTAAAAGTTCTCAAGCTGTAATCAATATGTTTGTGAAATACAATGAGAATGAAATACCCTATATTTTATTTTGAGATTTGGAAGACATAAAATGTAACTTTCCATAAGTATTTCTATGTATTTTCTTTCAAAGTTTGTTATTTACGAATTACAAACAGTTTATAGATCAGCCCTGATCCATTGACTAGGTTTTGAGTAGCACTGGTATTAACTGACTATCCACTTTTAAAAAACTTATTTAAACAAAATGTATCTGATGTAGTGTCATGAAGGAACAAAAATAAAATGGTCAAGAAAGAGGAAATTATTAAGTATGAATGAGATTTGAAACTCCAGTTGGCACAACTACTACACATGATAGATGCCAAGGAAATGTGAGTGTGATAGCTCAATTGTTCAACAGAGTTATTGAGCATCTACTATGAGCCAGGGACTATTCTAGGCCCTGGGAATATAGCAGTGAACAAAATGTGTAAACTGCTGGTCTCCTCTATGGTGGGAGAGACACTATAAGTAGGAAGATATTAGGCTAGTTCTATGATGAAAATAAAATGGGCTGATAGGAGAGACCTCCTGTGGGGTAAGGATAGAGGAAACCTCTAGGGAAATGACACTTGAACTGAGGACTGAATGACTAAAAGCAGTCAAAAGGTCTGGAGGGACATGTGTCAGGCACATCATGAAGGAGAAAGTATCTGGAAGAGGTTCTGGAACAGTGAAAGTGAATGGGGTAGTAGCTGAGATAGAAGAAGACTGGGGAAAAGATGAGTCTAAGAGGGGGTGAGGTGTTAGACCATACAGGCCAAAAGGAGCTTGAAGTTCACCCTCAGTTTATGGGAAACCATTATGAAGGTGCAATCAGAATAGAGATATCTTTTTTTGTGTGTGAAAACATCAGAAATTTATTAGTTGCTCAAAACATTACAATGATCTTGACATATCATATATCATACATTTGATTCAAATGAGGTATGAATTCTTATTTTTCCCACGTGTACAGATTGCAGGATCACATTGGTTATACAGCCACGTTTATACATACTGCCATACTAGTGTCTGTTGTATTCTGCTGCCCTTCCTATCCCCTTCCTATCCCCCCTCCCCTCCCATCACCTCTCTCTACCCCATCTACCATAACTCATTTCTCTTTCTCTCTTTTTCCCCCTTTCCCCTCACATCCTCTTATATGTAATTTTGTATAACAATGAGGGTCTCCTTCCATCTTCCATGCAACTCCCCTTCTCTTTCCATTCCCTCCCACCTCTCGTCCCTGTTTAATGTTAATCTTCTTCTCATGCTCTTCCTCCCTACTCTGTTTTGAGTTGCCCCCCTTATATCAAAGAAGACATTCAGCATTTGTTTTTTAGGGATTGGCTAACTTCACTTAGCATAATCTTCTCTAATGCCATCCATTTCCCTGCAAATGCCATGATTTTGTTATTTTTTAGTAATATTCCATTTTGTATACATGCCACATTTTTTTATCCATTCATCTATTGAAGGGCATCTAGGTTGGTTCCACAGTCTAGCTATTGTGAATTGTGCTGCTATGAACATTGATGTAGCTGTATCCTTGTAGTATGCTCTTTTTAGGTCTTTTGGGAATAGTCCGAGAAGGGGAATAGCTGGGTCGAATGGTGGTTCCATTCTCAGCTTTCCAAGGAATCTCCATACTGATTTCCAAATTGGCCACACCAATTTGCAGTCCCACCAGCAATGTACAAGTGTACCCTTTTCCCCACATCCTTGCCAGCACTTGTTGTTGTTTGACTTCATAATGGCTGCCAATCTTACTGGAGTGAGATGGTATCTTAGGGTGGTTTTGATTTGCATTTCTCTGACTGCTAGAGATGGTGAGCATTTTTTCATGTATTTATTGATTGATTGTATATCTTTTTCTGAGAAGTGTCTGTTCAGATCCTTGGCCCATTTGTTGATTGGGTTATTTGTTTTCTTATTGTTTAATTTTTTGAGTTCTTTGTATACTCTGGAGATTAGGGCTCCAGAATAGAGATATCTTAACGTGTACTTTTTAACAGTTACTCTGGAACTCTGGTAGCTGTGTGGATATTGGATTTTAGGGGACAAGAGAAGAAACCTGGAGATAGGCAAGGGATGGAGGTGACATGGACGAGTGCAGTGGTGGCAATGAAGAGAAATGGACAGAAGGGGAGGCACTGGTGAACCATCGGTGGAATTTTCTGATGTGGGAAGTGGTTGGAGAAATGAGACTATTTGAGGCCGACTCCTTTTTTCTCCTTAAACAACTGGGTGTTCAGCTTATATTAAGGAGTAAACCAAAATGGTGCCAGTTTGCAGTAGGGTAAGTTAGGAGTTTGGTTTTGGTTCAGTTTTTGAA